TTTTTTTTTTTGAGACAGAGCCTCAAACTGTCCCCCTGGGTAGAGTGCTGTGACATCACAGCTCACAGCAACCTCCAACCCCTGGGCTCAAGAGAGTCTCCTGCCTCCGCCCCCCAAGTAGCTGGGACTACAGGCGCCCGCCACAACACCTGGCTATTTTTTTTTTTGATTGCAGCCATAATTGTTGTTTGGTGGGCCCGGGCTAGATTCAAACCTGCCACCTTAGGTGTATGTGGCTGGCGCCTTAGCCACTTGAGCCACAGGCACCAAACCATCCCTTTCAATCTTAATGAGGCAACTGTTGTATATTCAGTCTGTCATTGAAACATCTTATGCAGCTTGTGATTGTAATAGACATTTAATGAAAATTAGATATTCTAGAAAGAGAACACTGGGGCTGGGTGTGGTAGCTGATCCCTATGACCCTGGGTTGCAGTGTACTATGGTGATGCCCTTGTACGTTAGCCTGGGAATGGAAGAAGACTGTGTCCCCTGCTCCCCCTGAAGAGAGAAAACGTTGGAACGTGTTCTCTAGAAAAGAGAACATAAGTTGGGAGAGACTAGAGACTTTTTCATACTTCCCCCTACTACCATTACTTTTCATCCACCCCCTCCTTTGGGGACTAGGGAGGATATATGAAAGAATCTTTTCACATAAGCTTTTCGGCAGTTTTGCCTTGATTACACCAAACCAACTCCTGAAAATAGGTACTGAAGTTGTTTAAGACTAGACCTTCTCGGCTTGGCGCCTGTGGCTCAAGTGGCTAAGGTGCCAGCCACATACACCTAAGGTGGCAGGTTTGAATCCAGCCCAGGCCTGCCAAACAATGATGCTGCAACCAAAAAAATAGCCGGGTGTTGTGGTGGGCGCCTGTGTCCCAGCTACTTGGGAGGCGGAGTCAGGAGACTCACTTGAGCTCAGGAGTTGGAGGTTGCTGTGAACTGTGATGCCACTGCACTCTACCCAGGGGGATAGCTTGAGGCTCTGTCTCAAAAAAAAAAAAAAAGTCTAGACCTTCTGTAGGGAGCTTCTCTTTGCTCAAAGCCTTTTCTTTACTGATCATTTGCTTAACTCTTGTCACCTTTTATTCCCATCCAGATGAGCAGTTTGCAGATCAAGGAAGAGAAAGTCAAACCAGATACTAATGGTGAGTCACCAGGAATGACAGGTTCAATGAGAGTTACGCATGGGCTTCTGCTTATGCACTCAATAAGCGTGATGTACAGAGGAGCTTTAATTTACTATAAGCTTCAGCAAATGTTTGAGAGACATTAAAGTAGGTTTGGTCACTGAGGAATATGTTAATAAGCCTCTAACTCTTAAGGATGACTGTTGGATTATACTGCTGTTCACTTGAAATGCTTCTTTAAGTTTTCTGTTTGTTTGTTTGTTCAGAGACAGAGTCTCACTTTGTTGTCCTTAGTAGTAGAGTGCAGCTCACAGCAACCTCCAGCTCTTGGGCTTAGGCAATTCTCTTGTGTCAGCCTCCTGAGTAGGTGGGATTACAGGCACCTGCCACAATGCCCGGCTATTTTTTTTGTTGCAGTTTGGCTGGGGCTGGGCTCAAACCTGCCACCCTCAGTATATGGGGCCAGCTCCCTACTCACTGAGCCACAGGTGCCACCCAGGTTTTTTAATTTGACTTTTTGTAAAGTGAAGCTGTGTTCAAAACCCAGAAAGTATAAAAACATTCAAGGATTAGGGACCACCCTGATGACCTCATGGTAACTAATTATATCTGTAACAGCTGTTTTTCAAAATGATGTTATGTTCTAAGGTACTGATTAGGACTTAAAGACATAAATTTAGGGCAGGACATGTTTCAGCTCGTAATATTATCTCATTACTGGATTTCTTTTTTTTTTTTTTTTTTTGCAGTTTTTGGCCAGGGTGGGTTTGAACCCGCCACCTCCAGCATATGGGGCCAGCACCCCACTCCTTTGAGCCACAGCGCCACCTGAAGAGTGGTTGATTTCTTTTTTTTTGCAGTTTTTGGCCGGGACTGGGTTTGAACCCACCACCGGCATATGGGCAGGCGTTCTACTCCTTTGAGCCACAGGCACCATCCACATTACTGGATTTTTAATATTCTTCCAGTTTGTTTATGCAAAGCAAATCCAGATGCAGATTCTCATATTGTGTCTCTCTTTTTCTCTTTTTTGTTTAACTTTCTGAAAATTTTATTAGGCAATTTTTCAAACATACAGTACAGTTGAAAAAATTATACAGTGATCACCCATACACCCACCACATACATTTTACAATTTTCTTCTTTTTTTCTTTTTTTAGAGATACAGTTTCACTTTGTCCACAATTGATAGAGTGCTGTGGCGTCACAGCTTACAGCAACCGCCAGCTCTTGGGCTTAGGTGATTCTCTTGCTTCAGCCTCCTGAGTAGCTGGGACTACAGGTGCCTGCCACAATGCCCAGCTAATTTTTGTTTATAGCCATCATTGTTGTTTGGTGGGCCCGGACTGGATTTGAACCTGCTAGCTCAGGTGTATGTGGCTGGCACCTTAGCTGCTTGAGCCACAGGCGCTGAGCCAAAATTATAATAGTTTTTGACTAACAACTCTGTAGTGAGGTGGTAGGAAAATAGACGACTTCATGCTTTGCGCATAGAAATATAAATAGGTAGCTGGCGACAGTGGTTCACGCCTATCATCCCAGCACTTGGGAGGCCGAGGCAGATGGATTGCCTGAGCTCACAGGTTTGGAGCCAGCCTGAGCCAGAGCGAGACCCCATCTCTAAAAAATAGCTGGGTGTTGTGGTAGGTACCTGTAGTCCCAGGTACTTAGGAGGCTGAGGCAAGAGGATCACTTGAGTTCAAGAGTTTGAGGTTGCTGTGAGCTAAGATAGCACAGCACTTTAGCAAAGGTAACCAAGCGAGACTCTGTCTCAAAAAAAAAAAGAAATTGGTATAAATATAAATAAAGAAATTAGGTATAAATTGGTATAAAATGTATGAAGGGTACTTTGAAAACTGAAAATGCTGGCTTGGCACCTGTAGCTCAAGTGGCTGGGGTCACAGCCACATACACCAGAGTTGGCAGGTTGGAATCCAGCCTGGGCCAGACAACAACAACGAAAAAAAAAAAAAAAAGAAAACTGCAAATGCATATACCTTTGATGTAGCAAAACATTTTTGGAATATACCCTGCGAACACATTTGCACACATGTAAAAGTCAGAGGTGACATATTCTCATCATTCTGAAATTACCTAAAACTTCTAGAAATTTAAAATTATCTTAAGTTCTTAAACTCTTCCCAGAACTAAAGATCCATTAAACATAAGGAAATGCTAACTATTTTATTCTGATCCCTTAAATAAGTTTCAATACTTATATCATTCCATCTTTGGGTAGGCTTAATGTTTACCTTGCCTTTCTAACTGCAAAAACTATTTTCTTGTTAGGTGTTATCAAAACCAGTACTACTGCTGAGAAAACAGATGAAGACGAGAAAGGTAACTACTGTTGGACAGTGTAAGAGGAAGTTGATAACGTGGGAGAATCAGTGTTGAGAGACTGAGAAGAGAGAGAGAATGACCAGGGCCTGCCTTCCTGGAGCCAGAGGCCCTCTGAGCTGGGAGGTCAGGGATATGAGGGGAATTATCAGAGGAGATGAGAAAGAGTAATTCATGAGATAGAAGGAGACTCTACCATGATGTCCCAGAAGCCAGAAACAAAGTGTTTTTAGAATGTCAGATATGGGTGATAAGATGATTAAGAGAACTAGAAATTGACTGTCAGATGTTTGGCAGTGTGGAAGTCATTTTTTGAGCTTAACAAGGGCTACTGAAGCCAAGTGGGGAGGTTAAAAGAAAAAAAAAAAAAAAAAGGCCTGCTTGCTGGGTACATCCCTGTGCTTTGGGAGGCCATGGTGGGAAGATCACTTGAGACCAGGGGTTGGAGACCAGCATTACATTGCCTGGGCAATGTAATGAGACTCCATTTTTGTAAAAAGTTTAAAAATTAGCTGTTTGTGGGGCTGCGAGCATGTATGTGAGAGCCGCTTGGGAGGCTGAGGCAGAAATTCAAGATGGTAGTGAGTTATGATCATGTCATCACTGTATAGGGCTACCTGGATGACAGAGTGAAACTCCATCCCTCAAAAATGGTGGGACTGATCCAGTGGAGGAGGAAATTGATAATGCGAGAAAGTCCATGTTGAGAAAAATGTCCTTGTGAGTAGGAAGGGATGAGACCTATTGGACAAGCAGAAAGGTTAGCCTTAGGAGCACAGGCTGTTTATCCACAGGTACAGAAGGGAAGGTGGAGAGCACAGGCCACATGTAAGTGGGTGTGTCGCTGTGGTCAGGAGTCACTGTTGGGGGTTTGCAAGTGAGGAGGAAGTATGAATAGAGGTCAAGGAGAAGAAAATGAGCAGACTGGAAACAAGGACTTGCTGGGCAGCTCAGCCCATTGGAGTTTAGCGCTCGAGGATTTAAAGTGAGACCTGTCCTAGTGCTTGTGCTTTTCTCCAGCCACACTTGGCCGCCCAGGTGCCAGTGTGGGGAGGGAAAGATGTGGTTTTACAAGGGTGGGGTTTGGCAGGTGAGTATGAAGAAAATCTACTGGTCTCTTTCTGACAGAGGACAGAGCTGCCCAGTCCTTACTCAACAAGCTGATCAGAAGCAACCTTGTCGATAACACAAACCAAGTGGAAGTCCTGCAGCGGGATCCAAACTCCCCCCTCTACTCCGTGAAGTCTTTTGAAGAGCTTCGGCTGTGAGTATACATTCCTTTGAACGGCTGTTCCTTGCCAGTCCCTCCCTATAAAACTTAGCATCTCAAAGGTTCTTGTGGGAATTTTACTTTAAAAAATTAATGTATTTTCTTTTTTTGTTGTTGTTGCAATTTGGCCGGGGCCAGGTTTGAACCCGCCACCCTCGGTATGTGGGGCCAGTGCCCTACCCACTGAGCCACAGGCACCGCCCTCAAAGTTAATGTATTTTTTTCTTCAAATAGGTAATAAGTCACACGACTCAAAAGTCAAAAAATATGAAAAAATTACAGTGATATCTCCTACTCTTACCTCTTGGCTACCCAATTCTTCTCTTGGTAGGAATTTCTAAATGCCACAGATTTATTCATTATAGCTGAAAGTCTTTTTTCTTTTATGCTCTTAGAACTTTCAATAAAATATTGGCTGACAGGTGATTTCTGGATGTCAGGAACATTTCTTATTAGGTAAGCCCTTTCATTAGACTCTAGGGTCTTAAGAACAGTTTATCTGCTTCTATACAAAATATTGTCAAAAGAGCCTGGGTTCCTGGTATCTTCAGTGGAAAGCACCTTTAACAGTCCTGAAATTAAAAAAATCCAGAACCCAGAATAAAGCTTTAAGGGAACATATTTATGGCATTACACTAAGAATAATTTCTAATATTATTTTAAAGGGAGAGAATTATGAAAGGTCATACGATATTTTTTGTTTTCTTCAGTGAGTAAGAGGTCTTTATGGATTATTGGTTTCTCTACCTGCCATTGTCCGTGGTGTTAGGAAGAACACAAGACTTACCTACCATTTTTGCTGTCTTCCTCAATCCCAGTCAGAAACACCAACAATTGGTGAATAAGAAAGTGGTGGAATAAATGGATTCTTTGCTTTTGTTCAGCAAAATCTATGTTATGCTCACTGTAGGCATATAGAGGCCACGTTCCTTCCACGCATTACCAACGAGTAAGAGATACCTAAAATAAGAACACTCACTGGTTATTATTATTACTTTTTTTTTTTTTTTTTTTTGAGACAGAGTCTCACTCTGTTGCCCTCAGTAGAGTGCCGTGGCATCATAGCTCAGAGCAACCTCCAGCTCTTGGGCTTAGGCAATTATCTTGCCTCAGCCTCCTGAGTAGCTGGGTCTACAAGTGCTTACTGGTTATTAATGAAGGAACACGTTTGTTTGTTTTGTTTGTTTTTTTGAGACAGAGTCTCACTTTGTCACTCTTGGTAGAGTGTCATGGTGTCACAGCTCACAGCAACCTCCAGTTCTTGGGCTTAAGTGATTCTCTTGCCTCAGCCTCCTGAGTAGCTGGGATTACAGGTGCCCACCACAACGCCCAGCTATTTTTTTTGTTGTAGTTTTCCAGAGGCCAGGTTTGAACCCACCACCCATGGTATATGGGGCCAGCACCCTACTTACTGAGCCACAGGTGCTGCCCAGAACACATTTGTTTTTAATGTGACTTTTTTTTTTTTTTTTTAATTTACACATTTTCAGGATATTATACTTTTCTGTGTTAGGGTCTTTATTCAACAAATTTATTCTGGCTAAGGCGCCAGCCACGTACACCTAAGGTGGCGGGTTCGAATCCCCAGCCCGGACCCGCCAAACAACAATGACGGCTGCAACCAAAAAAT